AAAAAGAGAAGAAACGTCTTTGAGTTTTCAAACTACTCTGACTGTAAATTAATGTGTACAAATTTCAGAAATACTGTCAGTAAAATTCACCTAGTATTTATGCACTATAGGCAGTATGTGAAATATACTGCAAACTTTCTTCTAATTCCTTCATCTAGAATAAATCTCAATAGACCCTAACACATTCCTCACTTTGAAGACGAGAAAACTGCAACCAGGAGAAGAAAAGTAAGTTTCCCAAGGTCACAGAGCTAGAACGTGACAAAGCTGGAATAAGACGTTCCCAGGGAAGACCCTCTGCCTCTAACCAGCACGCAAGGAGCATCTAAAGAGAGCATACCAGTTCTCACAAGCCTCTGACTGCCCAATTTAAAACTGCAACTCCCTGAACTCTGCATTTCCCTTCCTGCATTCTTGTTATCATCTTTAACATTTTACATAATGGAAAGATTTATTATGCATCCAACTTACTATCTGTTTCTATCACCTCCACGTGAACTCGGTCCTAAAGGTATTTATCTGTGGTGTTCCCTGGTGTATTTCAGCATTGTGGAATTATCTCTGGCACGGGAGTTGGTTCCATGAGTATTTGTTGAATGACTAGCTGAACAAAGTTTAAAAAGAAGGAGAGGGGTTTGCAGTGAATGAACTGGACCTGGAGAAAAACAGAGGCAGCACCAAGGAGTAGAGCTCTGAAGCACGAATCAGGGGGGTTTGCCTCAGGTGTCAGAGGAGAGCAAAGGAACACAGTAAGCAAGCTTCCCAGAGAGGGAGGCAGTCACACACCAGCCTGTGCTCCCTCACATTTTGTTTATAGCTTGTTCAGCAATAGACACGGGAAAGGAGGGCAGGAAGATATCAAAGGAGCTGCACTGTTCATATTTTTCCTCCCTTCTGCAGCTATTTGCTCTATTTCTGCTGACACTACATTTTCAGCGATTTAATGATACAATTGTTTCTAAAAACGACTCAGAAGCAGACACCTTCAGCCAATTAACTGGTGGCACTGATGAAGTGGAATCAGCTTCTGTCTAATTTCATTTTTGTTGGGAGGGGTACACGGCGTGGTGGAGAGAAATACAACATTCACTTCTATTTTAAGAAGGGAGGAATTTTAAACTCAGCCTACCTAATTAAGCTACATCCATGACACACCTAGGATATATTTGAAGACCTCATCTATTCTCTGCAAAAACATTACTAAAGCTATTAGTATTTCAATTCAGCTTGCCCTTAGGTCAATGGAATTTCACTTTGCACAGAAATTCAACATGATAGCATGACAAGTTTACTCTGAAGTGGTTTGTTAGTCTAAATAAGTCATAACAAGGAGCCCAAGTCCATTATAAAATCAGCATCCCTTCTCCTGCACATTTTAGGTTTGCTCCATACAGGTTTCTGAAACCACCTTATGAGCACCTATATCTTTTCACTCAATAGAGATTTCCCGTCTTCTCAACATCTGAACTGATGCTTTAAATACGGTGATGTTTATATTTGTGTTACTCAAGGTAATTTATCTCCATTATATGTTACAGAAATCATTTCTGTTTTTTTTTTTTTTTTCTTTTTGAGACAGGGTCTCACTATGCAGTTCAGCCTGAACTTGAGCTCACTTTGCAACCCAGGCTGGTCTCGAACTTGCACTGATCCTCCTGTCTCAGCCTCCCAAGTGCTGGGATTAGAGGCGTGCACCACTATGCCCGACTTGTTATGGAAATCACATAAAGGTGATTCAATCTCCCTCATTTTAATTCCTAACATGCAAAATGCAAAAAAAAAAAAAAATGGCCATCTGCACAAGCTTGTTTATGTGAGGAATAATACCTAGTGTGTACTTATTTTTTTGTTGTTGTTGTTGTTTTTTCTCCAGTACCAGGAACCGAACTCACGACCTTGCACTTGCTAGGCAGGCGCTTTTGCCTAGTGTGTACTTAGACTATTCTGATATTAATGTACAGGTGCTAAAGCTAGTTATTGTACAAAATCTAAGTACAAACTAAAGATTGAAGGGGGACTGAAAATGGTTCTTCAATTTAGTAAATTAAGAACACTATGGAAATATTGTATAAGATGATAGGCCAATATTTCTTTATGTTAAAATTGTAAAAGGTAATGCTTTTCCAACGTACTTATATACTAAAGCAAATCATCACATGATCTTATCAGTATATTCAGTAAAAGCATTCTACAAAACCCAACATTGTTTTATGGTAAAATTTCTCCATAATGTGGGAAGAGATTCTGAAAAACGTTCTCAGATATTCATATAAAACATGAAAATATACCAGGCAAAGGTAAATAAGTGCAACCCTCCATATAGTAATGTTTGGATCATTCATTGCTTTGTTTCGGTTATGAATATAATTATTTGTAAGGTTACTAAATATTGTACAATTCTAAGCAATATTGAGCCAAAACTAGGTGAAAGCCAAGAATGAATCCCGAGTCTGGATAGAATATTGGTAAGTAGCAAGGTAAAGGGATCAGAAATGATGAGGTTTGGAGGAACGCAGGTTTTCTAAGTCTCCCAAGTTCATCTCACGTAGGACCACCTGCAGGAAGTGTTCATGAGCCATAAAAGGGGACACATAACTTTGCTTTTGTTCCATGGCCCAGAATTCAGTTATAAGTACGAACAGGAAGAAAAGCTGGGGTCAGGAAGTCGAGGAGATCCAGCAGCCAGAAAAAATTAAGTGCAGAAAATTTTTATGTCTATTCCGTGTGTTTGGGGATTGCTAACAAAAAGAAAGGAAAGAGGGAGGAGCATACTTTTTCATTAGTGAAGAAGGGAAAAAAGTAACCAAATTATAATAGGGCAGGCACTGCAAAGGGCTACACCTGAGATGTGCTACTAAGGTACTGATGAAACCTGAGCAATAGTATTAGAACTAAACTCTAAAGGACAATAGAAAATTTAATACTTGGAGGTAAGGATCAAGCCCATTGTCACAGACAGAGATGGAATATATCCAGATTCACAATAAAGAAATAAACAGCCAAGGGAGGTCAGTTTAGGAGTTGCAACAAACTGTACTAGGTGAATTAGCGTGAATTGGCAAGATCAGCAAATATTAGCATATATAGAACTTTGCTACATTATTTGCTTTCTAAAAGAGCTTTAGGTTTAATTATATAATTTTAAAACCTAGTGGCCTTTTCTGGTTTATTAAATATGAAGAAAAAATAAAGTATATTACATTAAATCACTTTAATAATTGTCATTTGTAAAACAGAAATTCTTTCCTCATTGTCACATTATATGTGCATATAATTTGAGCTCCAAATTAATTTTTAATCTGAAATTTCTGAAAAATGTACAGGTAGATTACACAGATACATAGATCCACAGACAGGTACGATATATTATTCAATATGCTAAAATTTGGTCTTCAAAATGTTCTATCCTAATTGGATTTAGACATTCATTGAAAGAATTATATCTCTCAACCAACTGCATATTTGAATAGACTATTTATTTGGAAAATGTTAGGTATAACTGAATATTTGACACTGTAATGTATACAAATTATGCTCTTCTAAACTTAAATATTAAATAAATTTTGTGTATTTACTATCATTTTATGTAGTCTCCAGTGGAACTTTTGAGAAGTTTAAGAAACCAAAAGATTAAGATGTAATTAAATTAATAATAAAGCCATAGAATTTATAAAAATACTCAAAACAAAGACTCATGTCTGCTTATGTGTAAGAAACTACAGTATATGCAATAAGCTATTTCATACTCAGAAAAACTTTGGAAGGAAGATATTTCACAGGATCTCAATATCTTACCCCCATTCATCTTGCTAGTTTTACTCTCCCATCTTTTAGTACATCTATCATTTTTCCTAAAGACACAGGTCCAACTTTAGCACTGAATTGATTAGAACAACAAAGAACAACACAACACTGAAATTTTAATGACTTTCTGTTGATGAAGTAAAATATAATTTTGAAAACCAGACTTCAAAGACTTTCACCAATAAATTCCAATCTACCATTTTGAAATATCACCTCACTCTTCCTTATCTTCCTCCAGGATTTAGCCTATTCTATATTACCAAATTTCCTCTACATTTTCCACCTCTATGTTTCTGTTATTGTCCTTTAAGTCCACATTTCTATATCTTCTCCAGCTCAAAACGCCAATCACAATTTTAACAAATTCTTCCATATAATAATAGATAAAGCATTCCTCCTCTAAATGTTCATTTCATTTAACTTGACAAATCACCAACTTCTTAACTGTGGTAAGGTTATACACATGAGTTGTCAACATTTATCCTTGTTTCTAGATATCTTTATGTTTAAGGCCATTACATTAACATGATTTTCAAATAATTGCTAGTTGGAGGTCCATAGAAAGATGATATCAATGTTTACAGCATATATGCTGTGTCAATTCATAGGACAGTATGAATTAGGCAAAATATGAAATTAGTTATGTTACTCTGGTCTGAGATTATGAATTATTTTATCAATCTTGGCTTTTTGTTCTTAAGTATAACAATTAAGTATCACACTTTATGGTCTCAAAACTTGGTATCTTTGAACTCTGAAAGTTTGAGAGTTGAAACCTAACTCTGATATTAAGTAACTCTATGTACTTGGACAATCATTTTAGAGTCTTAAGTTTAATTGAAAAACAGACGCAAAATCATTCTCTTTCACGATATTTTTATGGAGATTCAATGGACCGATTCACCGGGAGGACCTAGGACACGGAAAATATTCAAATAGATCCCAAATTTTTGTTTTTGATACATGATGTCATAAACTACATGTCTTTTCTGAAAAAGAACTACCCACAATCCATTTTATAAGAGTTCTCCAGGGTAGAGCAAAATTGAATGCAAGTGGTACATAAATGAGGCATAAAAAGTGACAGAAAATATTCTTATAAATTTTGACCCCTTTCATCTGAAAGGAGAAGCCATTGTTACACAAAGCATCGAACCCAACAACTGGAGGATAACAGACATGCAGGAATTACTTACTAGCAAGGTGACTGTGAGCCAAGGTCCTTTACTTCTTTGATGCTTTATTTCTTCACCTGCAAAAATGAAGAGATTGAACTAGATCCATTACTTTTACATTAATTTGTAGAAAAAAAATTGGTTAATATATTTATTCTGTCAATGAAACTTACTGGAAGAGTAAAACATTAAAGCATCATAAGCAGAGCTTCTCTGAAGGATATAAAGAGGTAGTCCAGGGGCTCTGCTTTTTGATGTCTTACTTGGGCTACTCTCAATCTGGCCTAGCTATAGTCAAAGGTTGACAGAGAATTCATGAAAGGTTGTGATTGCTAATTAGTTACTCAGACCTACTCAGAAAGTATGTGGGAAATGCACATAAGCTAAGCCCCTTTAAATTCCCTTAATGAAATAATCTCTGCAGCTGCAAGAGGTATCATACCAGGCACGTTGCATACACTGTGCAGTGAACGGAAATTTTCCAAATAAAACTCCACAATCATAATACTTAAATGATCAAAAAAATTGGCTTACAAGAAGTAATACACTGAAGAAATGAAAGTGGTCAGATGTTGAAGCTATGTATTTAAAGGCCATATTGACGGCAAAGCCCGTGAGGATAACACTATTCCACCATAATTTCGGTATCACTAAGCATGTGTTGAGATGTTCATAGTATCACGGAATGGTCCCTGTACCAAAATCTTGCAAGAAATCCTGCAAGGAATGAAACATGTGCTTGAAATTAGACGAATGTTTTCTGCATTTCAATGTCTAGCATTTCAAAGGAAATTCTTTTAATTCCTGTTACCTACTAATTGTCTATAAAATGTAATATATACCTCATTCGCTTTTGTTTGTATTTTATATTTGATATAAAACTACCAGCCCATATTGCATGCCTTTCTTTTTATCACACCTTGTATATTCCATGTATGGTTGGCACTGCGTGACACAGAATCTGAAGCAATATTAACAAACTTTTTAATGGTCTCTTTCACAGTGGTTTGTAACTTTCTAACCTTTCAAAGCTGTTAGAATAAAGTCAAATAATGATACTGCTGTGGCATAAGTGTATGCTAGGATCAATAAGTTGTGGTTGCTGGAATAAATTGCAATTAAAGGAGTGGTGCTTGATTGCTTGACAGTAGGTAGTCTTGCTGGACCAAATAAACTTCAGTATCAGTCTGATTTATAAGCTAATTAGTATGGACTTCACATCCATTTCATTGAGAGACCATCAAGTCGTATTGACTTGAGTGTGCCTTTGGATTTGCACTGTGTCACTTTGAGGTAACAATTTACTAGTCTGTTTACTTATGATTATATTAATCATATTTAATCAAGGAGAATATACAACATATTTATAAACAAATGCTCTGATAACTCTAAACATCTCAGAATTGCCATGAGGCTTTTTATATACCTATAAATTTAATATAAATATATATTAATTCAAAAATGAAAATAGAATTGAAAAGGTAAAGAAACATAATGGGTACTGAAACTTTACAGTAACAGAAAAATACATATAAGTAATTAATGTACAGGTTAGAAAACATGACATGTTAGGCAAGCAGTTATCTAAAGTATAACCTGGTTTATTTTAATTTTAGTAACTTCTGTGTGCCATTTTACATAGAATAAATTTCAACATTTGCTTGCATAATTATCTAATGAAAATAGTACATTTAGAGATTTAAGAAAAAATAATTTTAAAGGATCATTTGATTGTAAATTCAAAGACACATATGTGTTTTCCTCTGTTAATAATTTTATTTACTAGCACATTTTCTCCTGGGGATTAAATAAATGTTGTTAAATGAATAAATTTAAAAAATATCCTTCAAGGGAGTGACTATATTTCATCCGTTATCATGTATTTTATGAATAAATACAGGAGAAGGGCTTGTACACAACAAAAACAAAATAATAACAATGGATATCGAATGTTAATTTATTTGGTATGATCTGATTAATACATATCATATACATATACTGAAATATCACACTTTATCTCACATATATTTAAAATTATTCTCATTTT